CTTTCAACTCGTTCACCTACCAAGCTCGTTCAATTACACAATGCATGCATTATGCATGAAGACATTGCAAGGCATTACGTTTCCGGAGAAAAAGCGTTACATTGATGACTATAGGTATTTTCACAGAAATAAGACCGAAAGAAGATTGAGCTATCGTTGTTACCTTGCTGCTCTGAGTCCAACACCATAGAAAACACAATCAGACCCGTAAGTACTGGTATCCATAGCCACGTGATAAAAATCCTATCCATGCAAAATAAAAGCTTATCTTTTCTCCGAAGTAGTTTCTGATTTTCCAGAGTGGTTGGAAACTTATAGCAGTTCTTTAAATGATGCCTACTCTTGTTCCATGTCAGCATATTCTTCATAGTCGTTGCTGTCGGTTTTGTGGATTGGAATGGTTCCTGAGAGTACTGGTACTTCTGTTTTCGCTGCATGATGCTCCGAATGTGATTGCATGGGGCATGAGACAGTCTTTCAGGGTACTCTGTCAAAATATAAACCAATTGAGTAAGTGTTTTATCATTTTACGTCAAGTACTCTCATAATTTAGAAACGTTTCAGTGTTTAAGGTAATTAAAAGAAAACAATCAAATGTATTACTAATTTTTCTTGAACTGACTGGATGTAGGCTTGACTATGGCCCAAACAGAATAAAATTACATTGATGCCCAGGAAGGTGGAACATCGTATTTTTACCCCAGCGATTCTAACTTTGTTCTTTAGTTAAGTAATACGACATCACGTTCTGGCATAGTGCAGTATGGCGTAATAATTAGATGCCACCAAATGTCCCTCACAGGAGAATGTTTCTGTTATTCTTATTGTAGAACTGTCGGGCATTACATTCCTTCATTTTCCCCTTAAAATAACAATACCGTGTAGCTGTTCCACAGTGAATTAGGACCAAAGATTCTGGATCGATGTAAACAATTAATTCATTATTCATTCCCCATGGCCTACATATGCTCTATCCATATGACATACATGAATTGATACGATATTTTGGCACATATTGTCGACTTCCATTTTGTCACTCACCAAATTCATTTGAGTTCAACACCTTAAACACATTTGTATAGAATATATGTTTATATCTTACTGCTTCTGACAAAACCAAGAAGGATAAATATACCTTGAACATTAGGGTTTGAAGGATGCATTGTATTCCGACAGGATGCGATGCCGCCTGTGTGAAGACGTCGGATGGAAGTATACTCATGTCAATATGTACTGCACATTTCCATTAAAATGTCATTGAAAACAATCGTTGACGTGATTAATTTTTCTGACAAACTACATTTGGTTTTCGCAAAGTGAGAGCTCCTATTGCGACCGAGATACATTATCTTAGGATATATTCATTTTGTTTCCATGGCAATTAAATCTTTTGAGAACCCCTTTGTTGGCTTCCCTCAGCATCTTTGCATCATATGTGAAGACTTTGGCTGGCGTAAGATGCTGCTGTCTTTAATATGCTAAGGATAATTATTGAATTCTCATGGACATAATAAGAGATTAAAGCATTCAAAGACTACCAAATAGACCAGATATAGACACATTGATAGTTACGTGCAGCGTATTGCACATACATGGGTTGACCGCCTCCGTGGTGTAGTGAGTTAGAGCGTCCGCCCGGAGAGCGGAAGGTCGCGGGTCTGATCCCCGACCGCGTCATACCAAAAGACATTAAAATATGGTACTCGTTGGTCCCTGCCTGGCGCTCGGTATTAATGGGTACTTCAAGGACTGGTCGGCTCGGAGTCAGTATAATGTGTCTGAGTGGGATATTCATGCTTCACTGCGGCATGGTATCTCAGTGGGCTAGCACACTATAAAACCAGCTTCAGCCTGGGCTTGTACAAGAAGCCGAACATACATACACACGCATGTACGTCGTCATATGAGCGAAATATTCTCAAGCACGAAAGTAAAACCCAATTTCACCTCACCTCACCTCACCTCACATACATGGGTTAAACAGGTCGGTTGCTTTCATCAGTTGATTTGGTGGATTTTTCTATCACCTTCAGTTTTGAACTTTTCATAATTACTCTTCATTTTCCAGTTTACACAAAAACATCCAATCAGTGTGGCAAAGACTCAAACAGCATGTTCTTCAAGACTCAATGAACTTTATCGACATGTTGACGGATCTTTACGACCCTCAAATAATGATACTGAGCATATTAACGTTTCAGCAATCATCTGTGGTAACTTAGACATATAAAATACCTTATGTTTTCCAAACGGTGGTGAATGGAAATAACGAAAGAATTGTGCATTTTCAGATGAATATATATCTCACAGTTAAATATTGTATAACTGGTACCTGTTTGTTCTTCTTTATCTCCAATAGCCTATGATGATGCATTTACGATGATATAGAGATTACTAATCGAGTGTCTGTCAGATACCATTTATCTTATTAACGAGAGTTGTTTCAAAACGTATATAACGAGCGAAAGCGAGTTAAATACGTTTTGAAACAACGAGTTGTAAGATAAATGGTATCTGACAGATTACGAGTACAGTAATCTGTTTCTTACACACCATAAAATCGCACCATTTTTATGGTCAAATAGATTCAAATTTCATGTTTTCTCATCGTAGGTGCGCAATAATACATATCACAACGTTTATGAATGAGTGACGTCACTTGGCTCTTAATCACTACTCATCCCCATGGTGACCCTCCAAAAAGGTTTCTGCCAACTCTTCGCATCATCAAGGCAATAGTGATAATGATAACTAGATAAGATCACAGAAAGTCTCATTAAACCCTCTAAAACGATGATGTTACCATGCAAATGTGGATGATTTTAATTCTTGCAAGCGTAAAATATTTGAGCGAGTGACGTCATCGTTATCGCTTGGTGGCTGTCGTCATCGGAAGATTGTTTTGGATATCTTTGCACTTTGGGGATCTGTACTTGTGTACCAGTTTACGTTCAATGTTCTCCCATCGACCGGAGCCAAAACTTTTGAGTGTGTGTAATTAGGTGCACCCAGTGTGCTTGAATGTGACATTGCTGAGGTTACGTTCACTATCAATGGGGATACTCTTCTCCGCCACATCCTTCTCGTTTTCCCGGGCCAGAAACTGCCACTTGGAATGTAATGGAATTTACGGAGTTTTCATGAAATGTGAGTTGATTACATCCTGTAAGTTATCAAGACATAAACTTTTCATTATCATGCGTCGGAGGAATATCTTGAGCAATGACTTATGTGTAGATCAACCGTTCCTGTACATGTTCGATTGCCATTTGCACTCATGAAGCCTTGCAAAACGTTCCATGTTGTTACATTGTTTCAACGAGTGTGTTTTGGGTTCAGATTGTCATGAGTGAATTTGATAACATTGGAATCACATAGTATCTCGGAGCTGGAAGTGGGTCTTCATCTTTGTGTATCAGTGAAAAATGTCATCTTCATCAATGCATTTGATCAAAGAAACAACGAGGCAAATTCGATCTCACAATGGACAGACACTGACGTTATCGTGTCAGGTATTTTTGCAAGACGACACATGACACTTGTCGCATCTCTCCAGTAAAAGTACCAGTGTTGTACATTTTTGAATATTCGAAGGAATCAAGGGCTTCATCTGTAACGGTGATTTTCACATTATTGTTTGCCACAGGTATCATTGATTGTTGGAGCCATTTTGAATTCATGACTAGAAATCAAAAGTCTTTTAATAAAAGGAATTAGAAAATAAATAGATTTGTGTTATAATTTATTCTACTTTGTGACTCATTGTATAAATAAATACCCGTTTATGTTGCAATCGCGAAAATAACAGGTAGGTGTAAACGGGTATTTTTGCACGAGTAACAGGTTTCTGTTCGATTGAAGCACGAGTAACTTATCAATGAATTTTAATCAGGAAAGTAGTCCGTCATACCCCTGACCCTAGGTCATCACCATGGAGTAGCCAATCACGGGATTAGAAATCGATCTCACACATACGTGTGGATACCAGTTTTCATCACATGGGTTTCTCACCCACGGGTGTGTAAGAAATGCTTGTCTCTCATTCAAGTTTCCCCAATTTGTTAAAATACATGTTTTAACAATATCAGATTGTGCACTATGTGTTCATCAAAAGGTTTCATTGCCAGTGTATGGAAATAAGGTTCCGTCCGACCACCCGAGAGGGGCTAGATTTCTGACGGACGGTCCTAATATTCAGCCAGCCAGCCCGATGGCCTGGTAAAATTTTTAGATATTCAATACATCTGGAATAAATTCACCATATCTTGGTGTCTGGTCTGGTTAAATCCATTTTGGGCTGGTAACATTTTTAAGTTACCAGGCCTGATGTCTGGCTGGGTTTTGTTCTTATTTCATACACTGGTCATTACCACATGACTTTATGAGTGAGTGAGTGAGTTTAGTTTTACGCCGCACTCAGCAATATTACAGCTATATGGCGGCGGTCTGTAAATAATCGAGTCTGGACCAGACAATCCAGTGATCAAAAGCATGAGCATCAATCTGCGCAATTGACATGAATTTATGTCTACATACTCACAAGTAAAGATCTTAATGATGGTCTGAAGAAAGTTTGTTTGTCGTCAAACCCATCGAATTTGTCTCCCTTGCGTTGTACGAATGGTGCGCTGATGAAGTCGACTGCAACACAGTGGAGAAGGTGTATAGGAAGGTTGCCACAACGATGACGTTGATGATGATGCAACGGTTGGTGTACACGACGTAGCTCCATTAATCGATGGATCCGAGATCCGAGATCCGAGAAACATAATTTAGGCGAACCGAGATTCGAACTCACTCATAGGTTCCTGATGGAGCCCAAGGGAGGCAACTCAGCTATTTGCTACGTCCAGATAATGGAGGAACGTAGTGCAGCTACAAAACCCGTAGAAGTATGGATGATGTGAGGGATGAATAAGGTGAAATCTTTGAAGGGCATTTAGAAGTGGAATACATAAGGAAAGCAAAATTTATGGATGTCAACACTTCTTTATTGTGAATAACACGACGTTTCGGAGTGTATGATTGCCCCTTCATCAGGTGAAACGTCGCGTTATTCACAATAAAGAAGTGTTGACATCTATAAATCTTGCTTTCCTTATGAAAAAGGTGATCAATGAAAAATCAATTATTTAAAAAGTATTTGTATAGATAAAATTCATGTCCACACAAGTAACAGGTTCATGGTCATATGCATCATGCTGTAAATATATTTTATTATATCAAAACTCCACCCCTTTGTGCATGATAATTATATGTTTTGTAGAACGTCCAATACTATTTCCATGGGATCTAATTCAAATTCTGCATAGCAAATGTTTGCTCATTGCATGTAAACAGAAGCGACAAAACCCTTTCCACACACAGAAGAAATCTCTGCCAAATGCAAAGTCGATTGTTCAGTTGTGACTATATCATGAGTATATATTTGCTTCAGGATTATTACAGCTGTACGATGTTGTTTGTAAACATATCGAGTCTGGACCAGACAATCCAGTGATTGTCACCATACGATGACAGAGCATGTGTTTATGAATCACTATGAAATAGTGATGATATCAGGTGTTCGCGAACAGGTGAGCGTATCCTGCCCCACTGGCGGCACCCGTCATAAACATATGCTAAGTCTAGCCAGTTGTTCAACAAAATTCGGGAACGTATGGTATAAGTCAAAATAAGGAATTGCATCGGACATATTTTGGCCACTGATGCATCAAATTTAGAAACTTCCTCCACATGTCAACCATAAAACATCTTGAAAGCTGTACTGAGGCCTTGAATGTTGTAACTTTGATCAGACAACTTCTGAGCAAGAGTGGTAGGAAAGCAGTTCATGATCACATGTTCGTTTACCAGTTGGTATATACAGACCTTCATTGTCTGTTGCAAGGTGATCTTCAAAGAATGTCTCTATAGACAGGCAGGTTGACTCCAACGTCTCCGCCACCTCCTGAACAAAATGCATAAACATTATGGAATGACACATGTACATTTTGATGTCTTTATATCCAGTTTTAGGTGTGAGTCAAACCAATAAAACAACCTTTGTATTTAGCAGTACATTTTAATTAATGCAAATCAACAAGTTAATTAGAAGGTTGTTCTATTGAACTTGATAAAGATGAAGTTAATTCTTAACTCCATAACTTCGTGCCGACTAAAGGTAAATTTCTCATTATGTAGTACGTAGTCCATGCATGCAGGTACATTGCTTTCCATGACATATTACCCATCCATACAAGGCATATTCTCCATTGCATAGTAGGCCATGCATGGAGGTATATTACTTCCCACGACATATTACCCATACATAGGGACATATTCTCCATTACATAGTAGTCCATGCATGCAGATATATTACTTCCCACGACATATTACCCATACATACAGGGGGACATATTCTCCATTACATAGTAGTCCATGCATGCAGATATATTACTCCCACGACATATTACCCATACATACAGGGGACATATTCTCAATCACATAGTAGTCGATGCATGGAGATATATTACTCCAACGACATATTACCCATACATACAGGGACATATTCTCAATCACATAGTAGTCGATGCATGCAGATGTATTACTTCCCACGACATATTACCCATACATACAGGGACATATTCTCAATTACATAGTAGTCCATGCATGCAGATATATTACTTCCCACGACATATTACCCATACATACAGGGGCATATTCTCAATCACATAGTAGTCGATGCATGGAGATATATTACTTCCCACGACATATTACCCATACATACAGGGGCATATTCTCAATCACATAGTAGTCGATGCATGCAGATATATTACTTCCCACGACATATTACCCATACATACAGGGACATATTCTCATTACAGTGAAGCCCTCGTTAATCCGGACGGTTGCGTTTCAGTAAATCTGTCCGGATTGCGAATAGTCCGACTACTGAATCAAGACCCAAGTTGTTTCCCTAACTATTACAAAAAACGACACGAATCTGATAAAACAAATAAGCATTTAATGTAAAGCTTAATTCATCACATCAATAATTTTACCGAGTGACATCAGCATGTTGATCCGACGTGTCTGATCACGTCCTTCCTCAGCACAGGTGAGGTAATGTCTAACAAGCGATCTATTGTAGTATGCCTTGAATGTCCGAATTATTCCTGCATCCATCGGTTGAATATGAGACGTGGTATTTGGTCACATTTCGCAAAATTAGCGAAGCACACTTGTGACTTGCAGCATTGTCGTAAAGCAAAATCACTTTAAGTCCACGTGACCGCATCTGTCTGTCAAAGTACATTAACCAATCACAAAACAGCTCACTTGTCATCCACGCCTTTGTATTGTGGTGTCAATCAAAGTGTAAATGTACAGTATCTTCAGTCGGAGCTTTTAATGTCTAAATTAAAACAACAACCCAGTTGGCCAGTTAATTAAGTAAACATCGCCGGAGGTGTTGTTACGGTTCGTGAACACAACTTACAGCGTCCGGACTGTGAAGCAATTTACTGTTTATTTTACTGATTGGTGACAGCTACTTTATCGTCCGGTTCCGGAAACCGAATTTCCGGATTATCGAGGCAAATTATATAGGCATAGATTGGTAACAAGTTGAAATCGCCCGGGAGGCGAGACATCCGGATTATCGGAGTCCGGACTAACGGGGCTTCACTGTACATAGTAGTCCATGCATGCAGATATATTACTTCCCATGACATATTACCCATACATACATGGGGCATATTCTCAATCACATAGTAGTAGTCGATGCATGGAGATATATTACTTCCCACGACATATTACCCATACATACATGGGGCATATTCTCAATCACATAGTAGTCGATGCATGCAGATATATTACATTCCACGACATATTACCCATACATACAGGGGACATATTCTCAATTACATAGTAGTCCATGCATGCAGATATATTACTTCACGACATATTACCCATACATATTAGGGGACATATTCTCCATTACATAGTAGTCCATGCATGCAGATATATTACTTCCCATGACATATTACTCCATCCATACAAGGGGCATATTCTCCATTGCATAGTAGTCCATGCATGGAGGTATATTACTTCCCACGACATATTACCCATATACATACAGGGGGCATATTCTCCATTACATAGTAGTCCATGCATGCAGATATATTACTTCCCACGACATATTACCCATACATACAGGGGGCATATTCTCCATTACATAGTAGTCCATGCATGCAGATATATTACTTCCCACGACATATTACCCATCCATACAGGGGGCATATTCTCCATTATATGATATTACATGCATAGAAGAGGTACATTTTCCATTACAGAGTGAATATGGTTTTACGCCAATTTTAGCAATATTCCAGTAATATCACCTCGGAGGACACCAGAATGGTCTACCTTACCGTCCCCATTACAGTGTAGTCCATGATACAAGTAGTCGTCATCATAAGTAATGTACTTGATGATGTATTCGGGAATGGATTTACAATGATGGAAGTAAAATCAACTTTACACCCTGGAGAGGCATCTGCAGCTTCATCTTCTCAGCTTCCTGCAGAGCTCATCGAAGCTACAGCTGAGCAGGACGTATTCCGTGACAACGTCTCTACACTGAACCCATGGGATTTTAAGCACTCACGTGGGATGTTTTGCTCTTCAGGATTAGAAATACGAAGCACCAAGTCTGCCTTTATTAGCTTTTGCATTTCTGCCATTTTGGCTTAGAACGGTTACCTGAAATGAAAAGCAGACCTTTAGGGCCATAGGATATACAACTTTATGTTCATCAGCATCACCCTCAATCTCTATTGCTCTTCATTGTAGGATGAGTACAAACCTCTTTTGTAATAGTGGGTGAAAGAGATGGTTTTACGCCGCGTTTAGCAACATTCCAGCTATATCACGGCGGGGACGCCAGGAATGGTTTCAATAACATTATACCCATGTGGGGAATCGAACCCGGGTCTTCGGAGTGAGGCACGAACTCTTTAAGTACACCACCTCCCCTTTGTGTAATAACAGTGCAATATCACGGCGGAGACACCAAGAGTGAGAGAATGAGTATGGTTTTACGCCGCTTTCGCCATATTCCAGCAACATTACGACGGTGGACACCAGAAATGGGCTTCACACATTGAAACCCATGAGGGGAATCGAACCTTTGGGCTGTCGGCGTGACGAGCGAACAATTTAACTACTAGACTACCCTGCCGTCCCAGGGACACCCAAGAATTACTCCATCTATTGTACTCATTCCTGATTCGAACCCAGACCTTTAGACGAGACACAACAGTTTAACCAGTAGTATTTTGAGGCAAAGTTTTATTTTAAGTAACATGTTAAAAGTTATAAACAATTGTGCAAAGTCGTATAAATGACGTATAAATAATGTTTAGCCTCTACAATATGGACATGGACATTTTAAGAGATACAGAAAGGTAAAATACACATGCATACGACATGGTACCCCTTGTAATCGTTATACAAGAAAGAACACAACAGCTCACCTGATTGAGAGGGTGGTGGTGTAGCCTAGAGGTTAAAGCTTTCGTTTGTCACGCCGAACACATCGGACCCACATGGGTACAATGTGAAGCCCATTTCTGGTGTCGCCCGTCGTGATATTGCTGGAATATTGCTAAAAGCGGCGTAAAACTCAACTCACTCACATGACTGAGGAACGTTGTTATTTGCAGGGAAATCAGAACGTTGACAATAGGATTTCCTTATCGATTCGTTAAATATTGCTATCTAACGACACTAAATCTCTCATACTTACGTCGTGCGGTAAGGGACGTCTGAAAGCACATTTGAAGTTTTGCCAATTCAATTTTTCAAGCCACCGCTTGACCGTATTAGTTCAACAGGTTTGTCATTCACAAAGAAGACTGTAACTATAAAGCGATATAGAAATAGAACTCTTTGTGGACAAAGGACTGAATAAACCTGTTTATAAACTTATTCATTTTACTTTTAGGCAATACAGCGCAGAGAGTGAAAAAAGTCAAGAACAGTCTTTGATATCAATAAGAGCACATATAGACTGTTTATACCGTTACTAACTCAGGTTAGGTTTCTGAATACAGTGTTTTGTAATACCATCTATATGGTTACTTGTGACGTTGTGGTTTACTTGCTACCGTGATCAGAACATTAAAACACAATGTAGTCTAGGAGTTCGTTCCCTGGTTACATGAGATCCCCAGTGTATATAAAATCTGTAAGGGTTGTCTAACTAGGAGATTAGATTCTAACATGTTTTTTGAATTCAGAGGTTTCAAATTAAACTGACATATGAGCAACACCTAGTTTGTTTTAAATTTATAGGTTTGAAAATAAGATGACAGGTATACACTGTACACTGTCATGCTAACTCAAATTAAAACATATACGATATAGGCGCTAAATCAAGTATATTTTGAAATCAGAGGTTTCAAATCAGAACTGGAAGGTATATAATCTACAGTACAACCCTAAAATTATAGAAAATAAGATATGAGCTACACCTAATTTGTTTTGAATTTTTTGAGTTTCAAATTAACATAAGAGACCTGTAATTAATCTACAGTTAGGCTGCCCCTAAGCCTGATTAAATGCGACCCGATAGTGTGTCATTGTACAGTTACGGCGTGAGACGATATTCAGAGAACATATGGATGGGTGACTAGAAGTTCGGCTTAGCTGAAACTGAGTGCGAGTGAGTGTGTGAGTGAGGACGTTTTACGCTACCTGATGGTTAAAAGCGCCCATTCATCACGCCGAAGATGACGTTCATGGGTACAGTGTGTGAAGCCCATTTACTGCGTGTCCCCAAGCCGATGATATTGGAAGATTACCGAAAGCGGAGGAGTAAAAACTAAACTCACTCACTTTCAAATCGTATGCTCATAGACGTTGGTACTGAGGACATGTTCCATCTGTCTAACGCGCCAGAATTCTGTCAGCAGAGTTGCGGCCCAGCGTACCAGGAACCGAGTTGCGGCCCTTGATCTTGGCAAATGAAAAGGAAGGAAGGAAGGAAGAGAGGACCAGGAAGGAATGGAAGGAAGGAATGGAAGGAAGGAATGGAAGCCGGAAGGAAGGAATGAAGATGGAATGAATCGGAAATGGAATGGAATGGACAGAATGGGACAATGGAATGGAAGGTGGAATGGAGGGGATGGAATGGAAGTCTGGAAGGAATGGAATGTTGCCAAAGAGGAAGTTAAGCCTTCAAGTCGCACCGTCTACATTCAGATTCCAGCAGTTGAATAGCAAAACCTCGGCGGGGATCGGGTTAGGGTAGGGAAAGTTGGAATGGAAACGAAAACGAAAAATTATGATTAACTACGTTCTGATAACTTGCATTTCAATACTTGTATTTTTGAGATGATCTGTGATGCAGACTCATGTCACGTATGTTAAATGAAAACAACTGACAAAAGTATTAACATAATCGGTGTGAACCTGAATTCGAACACAGAATCATAGGTTTCTGACGTGGGTAGTCTACAAGGGAGAGAACTCTGCACTTCAAATTTAGGCACATTATTCCCCTTCAGGACTTCCCAGACTACTCGCTCGATCAATGTTCCATTAACGCAAAACGTAGTAGACAGTATTAGCCTTTTATGCCGAACACCTTATTGACATTACTGTAATCTATGAAGGAAATTACCTAATATTGGCCATAAGCGGAATAAGAACCAATATAGATAAAAACTAAGTATAGTCAGAAATTATAACTTATATGTTATATTTGGGATTACACTTTCTTAGTTAAGTACAGATTCAAGTACTTTTTGTTGGGTTGAGTCCACCTGGGATTCGAACCCACACCTTCAGAGTCAGGCACCTAATCGCCAGCACACAAAGTCAGCCGCAGAACCACCATTTGTAAATGGCATTGTGTAATCATAGTCAGAAATTGTTAATTAGCAGAAGTTGGTTCTTCATTATTGTTTCATTATAGTCAGATGATGAGTGAGTTTAGTTTTACGCCACACTCAGCAATATTCCAGCTATATGGCGGCGGTCTGTAAATAGTCGAGTCTGGACCAGACAATCCAGTGATCAACATAATGAGCATCGATCTGCGCAATTGGGATACTATGACATGTGTCAACCCAGTCAGCGAGCCTAATCACCTGATCCCATTAGTCGACTCTTACGACAAGTAGGGTTGCTGAAGATCAGTATTCCAGCCCGGACCTTCACGGGTCCCATTATAGTCAGAAAAACAACCCATACGGGGGTTCTGAAGCTAATAGCGTTATATAAACAGAATCTAAAACATGCATTGTATAAATATATTCCAGCAATATGAAGGCGGGCTGCAAATGATCGAGACGAGACAAACCCGTGACTGATATTACAACTGTTATATACCATGACGCGTAATCAACTCAAGCTCTACCACCGGATCCATTCGGTGGACTCTTTAGACAAGCAAAGCTCGATAATTTTTCTGACTTGGATTGGCTTAAGACTGGGAATTGAAATGTCTATTTGGTCTAGTATTCGCCAGTAATTATGTGTTTTGTTTCTTTGCCTGTTTGTTGGTTTATTGTTTAACGCCGCACTCAGCAATATTCCGTCTATATGGTCTGTAGATAGTCTGGCCAAGACAATCCAGTGGTTGATAGAATGAGCACCGATCTACGCAACAGGGATGCGATGACAATTACGTTCAAGTAAGTCATTGAAAAGCCTGATCCTCCGATCGTCCCATATATACTACCCATCAAAAGTTTTAAAGTCACTTAAAGCACTCACTACATGCTATGTACATACATGTGGTTAACTCGAAGATGAATTTCTCCACTAACTTGGGGAACCAACTGCAAACCTTATGCGGATGAATTGCACGAGGATCATGCATAACATTGCTGAAAAGCATGCGCAAACATCGTGCATGTGAACAGCAGCGTTTTGGTGTAAAGTTTTGTAAAGGATTCGCCAATTTGCACTGAGTCTCATCATTTATTATTATGACAATGATCCTTTCAACGTTACAAGTTAGTTTTACAATACATCAGTTCATGTGTAAACAGTGCTTTTAAACAGTATTAAATATTTTGTAAAATTTACTTCAGAACAGTTGACCGAGGTAAGTGGCTACATTTACACTAGTGAGAGTAAACCTTTGATGTGTAGTATACATGCAAGTGGTATATATTTACGGTGGTGTGAGGTGAACCTAGCTTGTGTGTCTGTGTGTCTGTTGGTCCGAGTCGATCTCCAGTCAGGGAAACAACAAGTACCGTCTTCGGCTCAAACAACAACTCTCTCACTGGGACCGGGAACAAATGTCGGATTATACAGAGCGTCAGATAATTCAATGTCTCCTTGCTTGAATACTTTTCAAACAGTACCATACATTGTAACTGACTTATATCATGAAATTAGTGCTTAATAGATATTTTCTTGGTAAATAAAGTTGAATTTTTTTCTGTATTTACATGTACATGTGTATCATTGGATTTATTATCTTCAGTACAATAACATAATAAAAACAAATATTGCGGACAGTGACAATTCAAATTGACACCACTGACTCATTGGTAATTGATCTCACCAAATTAATTGATCCCTTTCTCAGCCCATTCATCCTATGCTTGACACAAAACATACCTAGGTCCTCACATTGGCAACTCAGCTTGTAAAACAAAGGTAG